AGTTTGGACCAATACTGTGTGTGTCTCAATGTAGTTAATAATAATGAAACCCACTTCATTCACAATTAAGAAATGTTTTTTTTTTTTTACTTTCACTAACTGTAGATAGATGTAAATTGGGCTTTTGTGATCATTGGTGCCATTTTTTGATTGCTTGTCCATTAAAAATGTCTTTATGAGCATTCAAAGGTCCACACAGAAATGGCCAAATTGCCTGAAAATAAAATAAAGCATATCCAAATTTAATTAAATGCTGTTTTTGAACCATTTGCAGCAAGTTCAAAAGCTTGGTCTCTCTGTAAAGGTAACACTGAGTTTTTTAACTTCAGCAGTCATACAAATTGTAATTGTAACTAGTTGTTGAAGTTGAAACATACACAAAAAAGGATTTTTTTCTCTCCTATTTTTTTAAATGCTGCAGCACATCAAGGGAAGGAGGTTTTGATGAGGATTTAGCTTAGCTATATATATATATATATATATATATATATATATACACAGTAGTCCCTCCTTTATAGCAGGGGATCTGTATCCTGAAGACTTGTGATAAGTGAAAAACTGTGAAGTACGAATAGTAGTAGAGTTGCACTTGGGTTCAAAAAAATCCGACCCAGCCCGTAGCCATCATCTCCAAAATCTACCTGATCTGACAAATTAACAGTAATTACAGGTCAGCACCTGAAAAAAAACCTGACATTTTTAACTAAGCTTTCACTGCTAACACCTCCGACTATTATCAGCAGTTGGCGGATGTGTGTGGCTGAATAAAGGGAGCAGAAGTTTGGAGCTGAGGAGCTCTGAAAGTGCATTAAATGCTTCCTGTACTTCTGCCTGCATTAAACCCTGCTCTGACATGTCAGATATTTTGGGATCTCACCTGTTTGGTTTGTCGGCCGCACGCGTGCGCTGAGTGCAGCAGCTAAATGAATGTTCATTTGGGCTGATGGATCATTGGCTGTAGTCCATCTGAAGCTTAACTGAACTTTTTATCTCTTTCAAACGGCCGGTCAGTGTGCGAACAACTGGGCTTTTGCGGCTGGTGAATGTATGGCAAGCCATGTTGGCATATAATTGGATCATCGGCCGCGCACGTCCTTGATGCTATAAAAAGCCCTGCACTAACCCGGACCGCACATTATATTGTGGCCTGGCCTGGTCCAAATCCGGGTCGGGGGGCTGGGCTCCAAGTTCGGGTTAGAAATGACAGCTCTAAATAGTAGTACAAGTAGTAAGTAGTAGTTTATTTTATTTTATTTTAT